TTTTTAAATTTTTTATTTTGAAAATATATTTCAAAATATCTGGTAAAATTTTAACTTATAACTTATGTTACAATTTTTTTTAAATAAACTCAAAATTTTAATTATTACAAATAGAAAAAAATTATATTTTTAACATCTTCTTTTTGATATCAACTTTTAATTTGTAAAAACTAAACCAAATAGGCCTAATATTTAAAATTACACATTACACAAACAATTCCTGATATATTATAAAATAATTTTTGAAAAAATATCTATAAACACTAGAAATAATTGTTTTTTTAGGTTCTTCCCTTTACCTTCTTTTCTTTTCAGCCTCCGATTTAAGTTCCTTGGCTATCACTTATTGTAGCTCTGTACATCCGAAATCATCTACCTTTTTCTTGTTTAAACTTTGTATTATTACGAATGAAGTTCTTATATTGCACCAAAAAAATTAAAAATTAAAAAATAACAATAATAAACGGTACAAGAATAGGCATTTTTAAGTAATTTTCTTTTAATGGTAATACATGCATCACAATGAAATTATATATTCACCACCATCACAATGCTCTTTTGCAACGATTAATCGTGAGGCAACCACGGCGATAAGGGTTGGCAGCTTGTCGAGGGGTGTGACTGGGCGGGTTTGGAGGACAACCACCAGGCTGGTTGCAAAGTTTATCTAAATTTATGTATTTAATTGGGCCCTGGGCCTCAACCGTGCTCATTGTCGTCGCTATCACTGCCATGCCGATGAGAACCAGGCACAACCACCCTGCCTTCATGGTGAAATGTGCCTGATATTTATATTTATGTAATGTTTTTCTTCAATCTAGGTGATAATCTTTTGAAATGTACTGATCTTTTTGTTGTAGTTGTGGATTTGGGTGCTTTATATATAGGTTTCAAAAGAGGTCCACGGTCTAAAATAGGAGTTGATTAGTCTAATTATAAAGGTTTGTTATGGAAAATCTAATTTTGGTTCTGAATTGTTGAGAGTGGTCGTTTAATAATAGAATAATATGATGTATGTCATTAGAACACTACCACAACTTTTACAATTTTGTTGTTGCTCATCACCCAAAATATATATATATATATATATAAATATTCTCTTGAGATTCCACAACAAATGGTTATGTTATCAAATCAATTAATAACAATTTTCAATGATATCAAAAATATATTTCAATTAATAATTTAAAATTTTATTATTATATAGGAAATCAGTCAATTCTATTAAATAAAAAAATTCTAACAATTGAGTATTTGTTATTTTTCAAATTACATGGGGTAATTCTTATTTTAAGCAAATTTTAGGGGGTGTATTTGTAAGAAGCTTAAGATGGCCTAAGAACTTTGGATTGTTTTTGGAAATTGAACTTTTTTTTTTTAGTGATTTTTTAAATTTTTACGAAAAAATATAAAAAAAAGATAACTAAAAAAAAATCACAAAAAAAAAAAATTTGCTTAAAATTTAAAAAATCACTAAAAAAAAAATTCAATTTCCAAAAACAATCCTAAGTTCTTAGGCCATCTTAAGCTTCTTACAAATACACCCCTAAAGTTTGCTTAAAATAAAAGTTACCCCATGTAATTTGAAAAATTATAAATACTCAATTGTTAGAATTTTTTATTTAATAGAATTGACTGATTTCCTATATAATAATAAAATTTTAAATTATTAATTGAAATATATTTTTGATATCATTGAAAATTGTTATTAATTGATTTGATAACATAACCATTTGTTGTGGAATCTCAAGAGAATATTTATATATATATATATATATATTTTGGGTGATGTCAGGGGGTCTCATGCCCCCCTCACTTGGTTTTTTTTTTTTTAAATTATGTTTTATTTAAACATTTGTACATCAACATGTTTATTAAATTATTTCAACATTTGTACATCAACATGTTTATTAAATTATTTCAACATTTGTACATCAACATGTTTATTAAATTATTTCAACATTTGTACATCAACATGTTTATTAAATTATTTCAACATTTGTACATCAACATGTTTATTAAATTATTTCAACATTTGTACATCAACATGTTTATTAAATTATTTCAACATTTGTACATCAACATGTTTATTAAATTATTTCAACATTTGTACATCAACATGTTTATTAAATTATTTCAACATTTGTACATCAACATGTTTATTAAATTATTTCAACATTTGTACATCAACATGTTTATTAAATTATTTCAACATTTGTACATCAACATGTTTATTAAATTATTTCAACATTTGTACATCAACATGTTTATTAAATTATTTCAACATCTGTACATCAACATGTATATTTATTTAACATCTATTAAATTATGTTTTAATACGTTAACATTTGATTACATCTACATTTGTTAATTGTTAATTACATCAACATTTGTTAATTGTTTAAACATAATCTGTACATCAAAATAATTTCAATGTTAATTGTTTAAATAAAAATTTAAACATTTAACCATTAGTATGTTTAATTTCAACAATAAATTTTTATTTGTTTAAATAAAAATAATCTGTACCAGTCAAATTTTTTTTATCAATATTAGTATGTTTAAATATCTTTAAACAAAATTTAACCATTAGTATGTTTAATGTTTACTAAAAATAATTAAAATATTAAAGATATGTTTAATATTGCTATTACATAGTAAACAATTGAAAAAGGGTAAAATAGTCTTTTGTTCATTTATCCTATCCAGTCCGTCCAACCAAACGTTGGATTCACTGAAAATAGTCCTATCCAGACATCTAATCCCATGAAAAAACAAACACAGGATACATATCCAATCCGACCAAATAGTCCGGGGGATTCACAGTCCCAGGACTCAAGTCCGATGGATTCTAATCCCCCTTTTCCAGTCCGTCCAATCAAACACACCCTAAGTGATAAATCAATTTTATCTAACAGCCTCGTGTGGAAATAAATTTTTTTAGTAACTTTTTGGTTTTTTTAGTTTAAATATGAGATCAAAAAATTAGTATATTTGAAATGATTTTTTAGTTTTTTACAAAAAAAAATATGTAAAAAATAGAGAGAAAATGAAATTTTTGACTTTTTAGTATAAATTATAGACTTTTTAATTTTTTTAATACATATATATTTTTTAACTTTTATACTAAAATAAGTGAATGCCAAACGAGACCTAAGTCTCATTTGAGTCAATTTCAAAATCTATATGCATTATCATTTTTTTCCCCTTGTTGGTCTACTTTGGGGGTTGTTTGTTTCAGCTTTTCAGAGTCAATTTATGACTTTTAGCTTTGAAAAAGTTATTTTGAATTGTTTGGTTAAATTTATTTCAAACAGCTTCTGATTCTAACAGCTTATTTTAACTCAAAAAAGCTGATTCTGAGAAGCTGCTCACCTCTCGCTTCTGATTATCAGCTTCTGCTGTGGACATGTTAATTTATGGTTATACTCTTAAATTTTTTTATTTTTTATTTTTTAAAAAATAGAAAAAGACTTAAATGGATTATAAATTATTATTATTATTTTTTATGAGAAATGTAGACAAACAAAAAATAAAAATTAATTAAAAAAACTATTTCACAGTTTATTTAACAAACACTACTTATCAACTTAAATCTATAATCCAACAGTTACACCAAACAGATTAACAACTTCTGATTAAAGTCATAATCTATAATTTGTTAATTTATAATCTATAAGCTGTTTTAACAGCTACACCAAACGGGGTTGTATATTTATAGATGATGATACGGAATTTTTTGGGAAGCACAAAAAAAGCCAGTTTTAGATTTTTACTTATTTTGGGTCATATCATCTTTTTTATTTTTTACTCGCAAAAAAATAAAATAAATTAAAAAATTAATTTTTTATTAACTTCTCAAGACACGCATTTATATTGTTGCACTATCATTTTTTTTAACTTGAATTGTTACTGTGGCCTAAAGGCTAAACCAAATTTTCATATTATGATTAAATTACCATCATCTTTCTTGAGATTTAAGTAAACTATAATAAGTTTAATAAATTTAATATAATTATATTGGGATTCTTTAAGGTTTTAACTGATATAACATTTAATCCCATTTTTATTAAAAAATAATATTATCATCTTTTTTATATAGAGATCTTATCTTATGTATCTTTATATTTTCATAATTAGTTTTAATCTATTTAATTTTATTAAAAAAATTAATATAATTATGTAAAAATTATAAAACTTATTGTATTTCTTTTAAGAAAAATGATTGAGGCCTCGAAATTGTTTTTTGGACTGTGTTGGTTTTAATTGTTATTATTTTTTTTTTGGGCAATGGTGGTTATATGTAGGGCTGTACTAAAAAATTAGATATCTCGCACTAACTCAGCTTATGTGATTTGATAAGATGAGTAAGTTAGGTTGGACTGATTGGGTGATAAAATTAACTGATTAGTTAGACTACTGATTAAAATTTGTTAATTTCATATAATTTTTTACAAGTGTATACTATATTTTTATTTCAAATCAAGAAGACTCGGAAGAAATTGAAAGTCTAACTGATCAATCAATTTTATCACAAAACCAGTCCAACCCAACTCACTCACCTTATCAAACCACACAGGCTGAATTAGTGTCAGATGTCTAGTTTTTTAGCGCACCCTTACATATAACTACTCTTAAAAAAAAAAAAAAAAAACTTGATTCGAGCCATACGGGCCTCAAAAATTCGAGGCATTAGCACGATTGTTTTTTTAAATCTAAGGAGATGTCAGTGCAATTTACTATTTATTTTTTGAATAAAGATTAAAAACTTTAATTTTAGAGCTCTGAAAATAGCTCTAATAATCACATTATTAAAGTTCTCTTTAAAATTTTAAAATATGTCTTTATCGTTGTTATTTTTTTGTGGTCTAACAAAAACGGACCGGATCAGACCAGTTTTGGTTCGAACCCAACCCGTGCGGGTTCAAGCTTTAGGACCGGACCAGATTTGGTTCCAATCCATTTCACCACTTCATCTGGTCCACAGAATCAACCCGCTTCACGAATCCGACGGCTATCAGCTTCCTTCCCCCCCTACTCTCTCATCTCAGCTTAACCTTAGATAACAATTTTAAAACCCCCACAAACTCAGTAATCGAATCGAAACTATTCTTTGTCTCTCTCACACTCTTCACTCTACGACCTACAAGGGTTTGGTGAGCACTTCGCTGAATTGCAATGTGTATAATTCATACATATATATATATAGAAGATTTGTGTCTTAGGGCTCTCAGTTGGATCTGTTTTAGGGTTTATTTGCAGATTTAGTAACGTTCTTCTCATAAAATTATTGTATGTTTTCGTTTTGTGCTAGTTGATTGATTTGTGGAAACGTGTGTTTGTTCTGATTCATTACTACATTGTTATTAATCTTATTACTCTAACCAATTTGAAATTGTTTCAATTTTAATTGTTTGTTGTATCTCTATTTGGTTTTTTGTGTTTTGTGAATGGGGCTAATTTCTCCAAATTAGACCGTCTGTTTGCTTGCAATTTTATTGTTGTTTCTGGGATGATTTATCTTGTGTAGGGTTTTTTTTTTTTTTTTTTCATAGTTTAAAAAATTGAACATGAAAAATTAGGGTGTTGTTTGAATTCCAGAAATTGGAGGAAAACTTAGGGTTGGTTTTTTTTTTTTTTTTGACGTAAAATGTTTTTCATTTTCCGTAAAATATTTTTGCATTATTTTTCTAAAAATGACTTACCTTCAACAATTTCATAAGTCAATTTCTACAAAGTTGACTCGCACTCATTGGCTTTTCAACACATCTAGCCTTTCAAATAAAGATCTTTGCTCACTAAAAAATTATAAATTATACCTTATTGAATCAAAATTTATCTTTGAGGCAACAAAATATTTTTGTTACAAGGGTCAACCAAATGCCAAAAACAAAAATAAAACATTTTTTTTTTTGTGTGTGTGTAAAATATTTTACATTGAAACAAATGAAGCCTTAAACAAAGATTGTTTTCATTTCTTATCTTTCTATGTTTTTAGTCATTTGAATGCAGCGTAAGGGGAAGAATTGTTGAATTATATGTGAATTTTACCGAGGCCACTCATCAAAAAAAAAAAGAAAAAAAAGAAAGAAAGATAACCGTGTCTTTGTAATATGCACTTAAAACTTGGATTTGAGGAATTGTTGAATTTTGCACAGCAAGGAAGGGTGATAGTGGACCCTTACAAGAATGAAGTGAAATAGAAAACTGTGTTCTCAAAGAAAATCCCACATTAAATTCATCTTACTTTTATTCTCAATATCTTTTTTCATTTGCACGGAAACAGGATTCAGTGTTATAATTTTATGTTATACAAAGTTAATTAGTTTTTACTAAACTGCTCTGGAATGAGGTGTAGCTTCCAGCAAGAAGAATCTTGTTCTCCAAGGCATGATGAAATTCTGAGTTTTGATGAATTACATATGGCCTTAATATACAAGACACCTTGTTAAATCACGTCTCTCTAGTTTTTAATATTTTGGGTATTGGACAAGCACCACCAACTACCAAGATTTAGATGTAACTAGTGTTGACATTCATTTTTCTTCCCTGCACATGTCATTATAAATGTGATATCAAAGTGTTAGACAGGAATGTTGTCAGCTAAGTTGGATTTTGGACTAGCTTCTTAGTTTTGATCAACATATATGTGAATTGTGATATCAGGTTGTTAGAAATAGAAATAGAAATGTAGAGAGTTTTATTTTAGTTTAGTTTGTATTTTTGATAAGTTGGAACTTTTTAGGAATAGCTATTCATTCTAAAACCCATTTGATGTTATTAGCCTACGAACTTCTTCAAACTTTTTTGATAAATTTTCTTTTAGGTTTTATTTTTTTCTCCTTAAACAACCAGCGGAGCTTCAACTTATTCTCTAATTCCATTTTGCTATAGTGTTTGATTAAAGGAACCAAGATTTTCTTATCAAGAGAAACTCATTGTAATTGACCTCAATCATGTTCCATTGGAGGAATTAAGAGGAGTTAGTATTGTACAATGAACATATGACTTGTGGAAATGCAAGCAATTGTTGACAATTACCTAGAACCGTCAATATTGTAATGCCCGTGTTTAAGACTTTGGATTTGGACATAAAACCCAAAACAAATTGGATTTTACTTTTAGAGTACATTGCGGCTTGCACAATGGCACTATTATTGTGTATCCACCCCAATGAATGAAAGATAGCAAGGAAATTGAATTACAATGCTATCTAAGATTTGAACCCACAACCTTGAAGGAGAGTAGGGGTGACCATTGGTTCAGTGGTTAAGACTTGGCTTAATAACCTTAAGGTTATGGGTTCAAGTCTTGGGGCCACCACCTTGTGCATTATGTCAAAGGTTAGGTGTATGCTCAATCTTTCCCCTCCCAAATACACATTAATGTTTACTAATTGGGCATTTTTTTTTTTTTTAAACCTTGAAGGAGAGTACAAGGAAGATATTCTCACAAGGGATGTGTGAGATTTAATTTGACTTGTATAAATTGTAGGACCCCCAAATAATAGATGACAACTACGAGGGTAGTCTGGTCAGTCATTTTCATTGTTTTCAACAAGGTTGCTTTCCATGTACTCAATGGTCATCATGTTAAGTTGTTGAGAATGATTTGTTGTTTAGTTGGGTGTCTGGTAAAGTTTTTCCTAACCTTAACCCAATTGTAGTTTTTGTGGATTCTCTTCACTTGTAGGAAGCTATAGGGCTTTTTATCTTTTGTCGAAGTGATGATGGTAGCGTTTTTCCTAACCTTGACCAAACTGTAATTTTTGTTGATTCTCTTCACTTGTATGAAGCTATGGGGCTTTTTATCTTTTGTCAAAGTGATGAAGGTTTTACAACAGTTTAACTTCTTTGTACATGGGCAGCATCCTTTTTAATTGCTTTCATTTAATACAATTTACTTATAGAAAAAAAACAAAATAATTAGCCATTGTTTTGCTGAATGATCTGGTTTGCTCGACTATTTTAATTCTACAAATGCCTTTCATTTTTTGACCATGTAATGTGGAGAGTTCCTATTGAGATGTTTGAATGTCTAGAAGAGATACAAATTATTGATAGGAGAGTGTGATGAAGTTTTCTATTTCATATTTAATAGTCCATCACGACTACATTTGTTGCAAGTAATAGAATTCATTTTCATAAATGTGTGTAATTGTGCAATTTTCGAACATCAGTTAATTCTTGCTTCCGGATTTCAATAAGTTGAGCTTACAATGAGGACATGTGACTATGCTGGTGCATATTAGATTTCAATAAGATGAGCTTACACCAAGGGCATGCGACTATGCTCATTCATATTAGATTCGAGCTTAGAGTTTCCTTCTACTCAGTTACCTATGTTCCTTGTGTTTATTCGAAAATTAGAATCAGCAAGTGGCCGAAATGTATTTAGCATGCAACTTAACCCTTGGGTTGCTTACACTGAGGACATGTGAATATGCTTGTGCAAATTAGATCTGAGCTTGGAGTTTCCTTCTATTCCTACTCACACGACAATGTCTTTCAACAATATTTTCCAGCGTAAGAGAAGAGATGCATAATTGGGGTGTGCAAACTGTGGAACAATTTGATCATGTCACTACTCTATGTTATCTACATATATAAACCAACAATTTGAATGTTTGACCAACTCATGTGGTGGGCTAGACCTATGTTCTTAGATGTATTTGTTCTCTTTACATAGTGACGATCTTGATTAGTTTATTGTTTGCACATAGAAAAAATACATATCCCAAATCTTTAAAAGTTAATGCAGTATTTTGGTATGACTGTGCAGGATTACATACAAATATACAATGAAATATAATGTTCCTGAGATATGTTATCATTTTATGAGTTGTTTGATAAGTTAATGCAGTATTTTGGTATGACTGTGCAGGATTACATACAAATATACAATGAAATATAATTCCTGAGATATGTTATCATTTTATGAGTTGTTTGATTTCTGTTCTAATCAAGTCATCTCTTATCTCTTTACAGGGAAATTACTTTTAAGCAACCTGATTACTAACTGCAATGGCAACAAGGATTGCTGCAAGATATGTATCTCGTAGGCTTTCGAGCAGTGGTAAAATTTTTAGTGAGGAGGAAAAAGCTGCAGAAAATATTTACATTAAGGTCTGACTTCTCTCAGTCATATGCTCTATTATGAACAATCTGAGTTCTCATTTTTCCTTTTTATTTGACTCCAATTTTCTATGTGTCTGTATTGGACATATGTACATTTCATCTGATGGTTCTGTCCGGGATGATATCATTAAATTATGTGCATAGGTTTGGTTTGTGATAATATCATTTTAACTTTTTCCAATTTTGAAGTTTGCAATTGCCTTTCAAGTTGTTTTTCTCACGGAAATATTTATTAGATTTGTTCTTAATTTTTTTATACATCTTTCTCTAACATTAATCGTTTGGCATTTTGGAGTAGTTTTTGACTCGTTTTATTAGTTACTGGGGTTGAAAATTACAAAGATATGCAAGTTTTTTGTTTCACGAGTTTTTATATTTTATACCGGAATCTTCACGATCTCGGTGTTCTTTTAGTGAGGAATCTCTTTATTAGTGGTACCTTATATTGTTGTCTAAAAGTTAAGGTGTTTTAGACCTCCAATTGTATGTATCTAAAACCAGATTTCCAATCTCTTGGGTTTGGGGAAACAATTGCAGAAAGCGTGAGTAGTCAAGGTTGCCCATTCATTGCATTTATGTTTGATAGTTGATAATGCCAATTGTCTAGTTCAATCTTTACATGCATGGGATCTTCCTTTTTTTTTTTGTGTGTGTGTGTGTGTGTGTGTGTATTTATCAAAGAAAAAGAGATTGTTTGTGTGTGTTTTAAATTTTTTTATTATTATGCTGATGTTAGTAGTTAACATGGAATGGGGGTGTTGAAGTAGCGGAATAAATTTCTTCTAGTGAAGTGTTGTGTCCAATTTGGGAAGACTAAAGTTTGTGTTAAAAAACAGTAGAATAAATATGAGGCCTTAGTTGAGTTTTTAGTTGCATGTGTTTTGGTGGCTAATTCTATTTAAAAATCTTGAAGTCTATTTTTCACATTGCATGCCAGTGATTTGGAACAAACCAAGTTGCAGTTGTGATGAATATGGCATATTGCTTTTTTTTTTGTTATTATTATATGCAAGGCCATTAATTGGTGGGTGTTTTTTTTTTTTTTCGGTTCAAGTGCCTGTAATTCTAAGGAGCATTCTGCTCTTAGCTTTGAGATGGTTCACTTATAACAGAAGTAATCTGTTTGCTTATTACGTCTCTAGTCCTTTGTTGTGTGACATCTGCTAAAACTATATTGTGCTGTTGCAGAAAATCGAGCAAGAGAAGTTGGAGAAGCTTGCGCGCAAGGTACACTCATGCTACATACTTTTCTTTGTTTTGGTTGATTCATGGGTGGGGTGTGGGGGGGTGATTATATGACTAACATTAGACATCACCATGAGTACTCCGAAAATGTTGCCGGACTCGTACCGGGTACTTACCGGGTATTGATACTCATACCGATAAGGTTTGCATGCGTACCGGGTACTTGAAACACGTACCGGGTACTTTTTATACATTCTTTGGCAGTTGGATACTCCATGGGTACATCAGAAGTACACCAAGCTATGAGACATTGGTGAAGATACGTTTAATTTATTAGAGAGTTCTTATATATTTGAAATTGTAAATCCTGTACTTGATGTGTCAGAGATGAAAGATGTATTAGTCAATGATGAAATTGATGGAAGTGAAAACTGAAGTTTTAAGTTTTCAAATATTGCTTCGCTTACTTTTGGAATGAAACTTTGTTTTGTAATTTCTCTTATTTAATGGCATTAAAATTAGCTTATAGACTTTGCTTGGTATTAGTATTATTAAACTATGATTTCTATTTTGGTTTTGTAATTTTTGCTTTTAGTTTTGGTATTGAACTTTAATTTGTAGATTGAATCCCAAACTATAAATTATAAAAATAAAAAAATTATTGATGTACCCCAGCTGTACCCGTATCCTATTTTTTTTAGGTCTTGCCGTATCAGTATACCCGTATCGTACCCGTACCCGTGCTTCATAGAACATCACACATTTTAAGTTATTGGTTGATTGTATTCTGTTGACCTTTTTTTTGCTATGATATTGCATTGATTACCATACAAGCTGCTGTTTCATAGTGCTGCGAATGTGCTTAACCAAGTGGCCAAATCTCATTTGTACAGAGTAAAAGAACGAACCTGTTTAGGTCTTCATTCTGAGCTTGCTAGGCTGAGTCACCAGTTCTGTAACTATAATCTACTGGTGTTGAATTCAAGTATTATGTATTTGTATTACATTATCTATTATAATTTCAATATATTTGATGTCCGTACAAGTATTTTACGAAAATAACTGGGTAAATTATACTTTGTCTCCTTTATGTTTGGTCACTTTTTCACTTTGACCCTTAAAAGTTTATTTTTTCTTGCTTTAGCCCTTTATGTTTCAAGTTTTTTTCAATTTATACTTAAAGTTAACTTATGTTCAAAATTAGACAAAAAGATCATAACAACTGTCACATAATATAAAAATATATTATTATATTAAAGTTTAAGTTTATATTGGAGATGTGAGTTGTGTGTAATAAAATATTTTTATACCACGTGACTGTCAACGTGTCCTTTTCTATCTAATTTTTAGTAGAAATTAGCTTTAGGAGTAAATTGGAAAAAAATTTAAAATATTAAGGGCCAAAGTGTGAGAAAAATCAAACTTTAAAGGCCAAAGTGAGAATATAACCAAACATAAAAGGTGCAAATTGTAATTTACCTAAAATAATTTTACACCTAGTTTTTCCAGTTTCGCACTAGTTATCATTTTATGTGTTTTACTTGCTTTGCTTGGCTGTGTTATGACATGGTGCTTCTGTTTGATGGTGGAATGTTATCAGGGGCCTAAACCAGAGGAAAAACCACCAACAAGCTCAGGGGGACCTGCGACTGATGTTAAGCCTAGTGGTCCGGCCACCTCCTCAACCTCCGGAGTGTCAACTGACAAGGACAGAAACTATGCAGTTGTAGCTGGTGCAGTAGCTATCTGCGGTGGTCTGGGATGGTGGTACTTCGCGTCGAGGAAGAAGAAGACAGAAGAAGTGCAGGACTAATGTTGATAAGATCAACCAGTGTGGTGACCGAAATGGTTGGTTTTAAATTTCTGGCTTTCTTATGGTAATTATCAAAAAATAAAATATACCTTTGTACGAAAGCACTGGCTCTGTTTTTTATCCATCTGTTACACCTTTTATGGTTCATGAAAATTAGCCGGAGATAGGAGAATTTATCCACTGTTCCATTAGAGTTGAACTTTCTGTTCCTATCCGGTGATTGATAGAAAAAAAAAAGAGTTTCTTCTTGGCTTGGCTTGGTTTGGTTTGGCTCGAAGCTTTTAATGACTCGACAAACTCTCTCTTTCTCACATTCTACCTTTATTTGTTTCTTAAGATGGAGCATGATTCTTCTATCGTGAAAGTGCCTTTTGATCTTAGGGATCAAATGGATAAACTCGTGAGAGCAGTGGTTGGGTTGGATTGGATTATGGCAGATAATACATTTTACGTAGGATTTGGGTCAAGTGTATTTGCACTGAGGTGTTGCCATATCATATTGGATGCTTTTGATGTTCAAAATGGCCTTTACAGGCCACTTCTATATTGGATGCTTTTTTTTGAAGTAGGAACTGAAAGGATTGAGCTGAACCATCACTTTCAAATGTTGATGATCTTTGAAATGGATACAGCAATGGGTTGGCTAGCTCAGCAATTAGTTGTTATGAGTTTTAGAGTATTTAGACTAACAACTGTTGCACACTTTATTGGGCTCATTTCCGGCCTAATTCGATATCTAAACCGTTCACATTTTAGAAGTTACCAAGTAGAATATATCTGTTAAAAATTACGTTGATCAAATAGCGTTATCTCTTTCATCAAATCACATTTGCATTGAGTTTTATATTTCAAATTACATTTATCTTTTTTTTCTTTAATGCAAATGTGATTTGATGTAAGGGTCAATGATATTCGATTGACGTAATTTGTTACTGGTATATCCTACTCAATAACTTTTAAAATGTGAACGGTTTAGATTATCAAATTAGGCCCTAAAATGAGCCCAATAAGGTGTGCAATAGTTGTTGCTGCGCACCATGAGCAACAGCAACTCCAAACACCACTTTTTTTCCCTTGCAAATCTCCTTCCGTAAATCTTCCACCAAACACAGGTGTAATTTAGAGCGTATGCTTTTTCATCAATTCTCATGTTTGGTATGTGACACAAATAATTAAAACAATCTTAGCAAAGTTAATTATTTAAAAATTAGAAAAGAGTATTTATATAGCTTTTATTTTTAAATTATAAATTTTTTGCTTGAGAGAGAAGTTATACCAAATAAGTCAGTTGTGTCCTTCGGCGTGCAACTTTGGACGAATGAAGTCTAAAGTAAATTACAATGGCAGAAGAAATCAAATACATATATATATATAAGCAAAAAAACTAGAAAGAAAATTTGCTGTAGGTTTTGTAAGAAGGGTTAACTTGAACCCATTAAATTAATTGGGCCTAATTGAAGTCCAATCACAAAGTTTAAAAATTGGTGTGCTTGGAAAAATTATTGTCAAATGGACTCAAGTGAGTTATATTGAACGAGCCCATGAAAAAGATAACAAATTGAGCTGAGGAAGACTTATCAAACATATATCTCTAAAGAGAGTCCAATAAACCCATTTGATAAGGCCCAATTCATACGGGTGTCTGAGGAGGTTAACCGTTGTTTTCAGAAGAAATGAAACCCTCGGAGGAGATCTATTCTCGAGATATTGGCTTAATCTTGAAAGAGTTTGGAACTACGAACCTAATGACCTATTTGAGCTCGAACTCGAAAATGTTTGGATCCACAAACTTAGAGATCCGAAGCACTTGACTTCAAACGGATTTGAATGCAATCTAGAAGTCACTCTGTTAATGAGTCCTAAAACACTTGCAGGCTCGGAACTTTTCGAGATCTACGCAGCAAAACCATGGGTGTGATGGAGTCCAAACAAAGGACTTGATCTCGAGAACGGTGAGTGGAGATAAATTTACTCTTCGGTTAAACTAGCCTATACTCTGGTTGAGGTGGCACGATATAGAGGGTCCCTAAGACTCGGCAATATTTGCGGCAGGGCGTTCTCTTGAACTACCCCTGACCCTTCTGTGGTAGGGTGTCCTCTGGGACTACCCTTGACTCTTTGGGATGATTGGTTAGGTGTGACTAAGAAGAAGGGTTCTCCGAGAGGTTGATCTCCTCTTCGGGGTTTTCCTCATCCTCGGAGAGGTCACCTCCTCAGACAAGGTAGTTAGAGGGAGTATTCCCCATGTGCGTTGCACATGGGCTCCATCCTACATCATGAGGTGCCTATAAATAGTACCCACCTATAGTTTTACAATGGATGGATTTTGGAGGGACAATTATTGGAAGATAACTAATTTCCCTTCTCCATTATCTACCTTAGGAGTAAAAGTGAAAGATCCATGAGAGAGCCTTGCTATTATTCTCTCTCTAACTACTCTGCCTTCTTCTTCACCTAATCTCTTATCTACATCATCTTTTTGTTATTGTGCTTCTAGTTGTGACTGTTAAAGAATTTAAGTCTCATAATTTCTAGAGAATTCGGGTTTTCTTCAAAGATGTTTGAAGATCTTCGAATTTTCCTACAACATTCTTGAACCCTCTCATACAAAATTTAAGAAGGGTTAACTTGAGCCCACTAAATTAATTGGGCTTGATCGAAACCTAATCAGAAAGCCCAAAAATTGGTGAGCTTAGAGAAATTATTGCCAAATGAGCCTAAGTGAATTATATTGAACGAGCTCACGAAAAAGCCAACAAATTGGGCCGAGGAAGACCTATCAAACATATATCTCTAAAGTGAGTCCAACAAACCCATCCGATGATGCCTAGATCATATGGGTGTCCGAGGAGGTTAACCGTTACTTTAAGAAGAGATGAAACCCTTGGAGGAGATCCATTCTCTGAGGTATTGGCTTAGTCTTGAAAGGGTTCGGAACCACGAACCTAGAGACCTATTTGAGCTTGGACTTGAAAAGGTTCGGATCCACAAACCCAGAGATCCTTCGAACGGATTCAAACGTAATCTAAAAGTCACTTCGTTAATGAGTCCCAGAAAACTTGTGGGGTCGGACCTTTTCAGGATCTACACACCAGAACCATGGGCGTGATGAAAGCCGAACAAAAGACCCGATCCTGAAAACGATGAGTGGAGATAAATTCACTCTTCGATTAAACTAGCCTATACCTAGGTCGAGGTGGCACGATCTAAGGGGTCCTTAAGACTCGACAATATTTGCGGCAAAGTATTCTCTTGAACTACCCCTGACCCTTCTGCGGTAGGACGTCCTTTGGGACTACTCTTGACCCTTTGGGATGTTTGGAGATTATTGGTTAGGTGTGACTAAGAAGAAGGGTTCTTCGAGAGGTTGATCTCCTCTTCGAGATTTTCCTCATTCTCGGAGAGGTCACTTCCTTGGATAAGGTAGTTAGAGAGAGTATTCCCCATGTGCCTTGCACATGGACTCTATCCTACATTATGAGGTGCCTATAAATAGCATCCTCCCATAGCTTTACAATTGATGAATTTTTTAGAGACAATTCTTGGAGAGAACTAATTTCCCTTCTTCGTTATCTCCCTTGAGAGTGAAAGTGGGAGATCCATGGGAGAGTCTTACCATTATTCTCTCTCTAACTACTTTGCCTTCTTCTTCACCTAATCTTTTATCTCCATCATCTCTTTGCTATTGTGCTTCTAGTTGTGACTGTTAAAGAATTTAAGCCTCTCATAATTTTTAGAGAATTCAGATTTTCTTCAAAAAATTTTAAAATTTTTAAAATTTTTAAATTTTCCAACAACATTCTTGAACTTCTCATACAATTTCTTGACCATTGCAAAAGTGAAGTTTTTCTTAATTTTTTTTCTTTTTCTTTTTCATTTTTTCGAATCATTCTGTCATCAATCATTGCTAATTTGCTAGATCATGGCTAGGTCGGTTGGTGAGTCATCCCACACCCCCCCCCCAAAAAAAAAAAAAAAAAAAAAAAAAAAAAAAATATGAAAAAAGTTAAGCATATATACTTTAGGAGAAGTGTATTTTTCAAAAAAAAAAAATCTACAAGCCAAAAATCAGTTTTTAGGTTACGATCACTCACTACCTCTTTGTTAAGAACCATGTAATGCTAAAAAAATAAAATTTTAATATACATTTCACATCTCTATAAACTTTTATATTTTTTATACATATTTTATATATTCTAATACACTTGTTATACTTATAACAACATTAACTATGCATTAACTACGGTATGCTATTCTAAAGTTACCAAAGGAAAGATGTGTAAAGAATTCTCATGTTTAAACAAAAGAAATATGTCCAGTTTAGTTCCTATTGAATGAGGTTTAGGAGAGAGAGATTGGGAACAAATCTAAACATTTTTTTAGATTGGGTTTACATATCAACAAAAATTGATGTAAAATGAGATGTTCCTCATTTTGATCCTTTTGTTTGACACAAAGATTGATGCAATGTATATTTTTTTTCTCTAAAATACTTTAACCCCTGATCTTTTTAAGTTATTGTTGGTTTCTTTTAAAAATTCACTACTATTGGAGGATAAATAAACTTTGTTAAAGGATAATGTCCCCACACTCTGTTTTTTTCTTTTTCTTTTTTAGTACCCCACCTTGTTAAAATTTGTGACCCAAAAAAAAAAAGCTTTAAAGACCTTGACCCCTTTCCACCCCTATACTTTTCAAGTCTTCTGAAGAGAATTATATTATGCCAACTTAAAAGAATTGGTAAGAAAATTTGAACTATATGAATTATATTTTTTTGATTCAAAATATAAAAAGTATTTATATTAAATAATTTCCAGTTTATATGAACGGACTTGAAATATTTTATTTTTGAACGAGTTTGAGGATACACTATAGATCTAATCTTGGACCCAATCGAGTTTGAAAGGGAAAAATCAAAATCATTGATATTTTAAAAAAATAATTACAAATCTGTAATAAATTTTATAAATATTAATAATTAAAATTTTAATTTTTTTTATAAATCTATAATTATTTTTTTAAAATTTCATTGAATTGTAATTTTTCATTTGTTATGGTATCGGCTCAGTTCGAACCAAACCCAACCTATCTCATATTCATCCCCTAGTTAGACCTATAACAAGATTTTAAAAATCATATATTTTCATTTTAGACTTGTTCATCCTATTATTGGGTATTTATTCGTAAATTTATTTTCACAAATTTATATTTTGCTTAGTTTAAATTATTTTTTTATGTTCTAATAAATTATAAA